TACTGAACCTAGGAATTATAAAAGACCTTTGATGAGGAACTGAGTCTCCAAGWGTTTCAGAAGGCCATGAGAAGACATCAAGAGGTTTAATTCTATGTCTTTTGGGACAAATCTCAACAGTCCTCCTGGTTTGTGGGGTCTGGAAGGCTACAAAAGTCCAAATGGACCCAGAAATGTGAAGTTACTGAAGGATGGAAGAGAAGAGTATGGCTGGTTTTGAAAACTTTTGAGGAAAACTGTTTTGTGGCYCTAAGAAGAGGTTATAAAGTTACAAACTTTTGGATTAAAACTCACAKAGTGATGACTGAGATCATTTTTTTRATGTCAGAGGTGAGATGTGRCAGGGATTAACGCCCCAAAACACATAATCATCATCGTCATCATCATTCTGTATGATTCACTCTACACCCATAAATCAGACAGAGAGATGACTTTATCGACCGTTTATGAAATAAACCAAAGGAAGCTCAGCTTATTGACTTGAATAAATTACAAACTAGATGACAGGATCTGAGAGCGAGTTTATTCAAAAAACCCAAGAGGAAAACTAGAAGAGTGACTCTAAATTTTAATCTTAGTTAACAGGAAACTGATGAAGAAGGAAGCTCATTTTGGCTGCTTGTATCCAAGGATCTTGTTGTTTCAGTCGTAATCCAGACCTCATCAAATCAAGTCTTTCATGAGGAGTTAGACTTGACTCAGMAATTCAGTTAATAAAGTAATGATTAATCAGCCTTGAGCTCATTTCCCAGCAGCTACGCCTGATTTCATTACCGTTTTTAGRGTCTGGTTCGTCTTCACATCTGTGATTATGAGACTAATTGCTTATTTATTCAGGTGTCCACCTGAACAAAGCACAAGTTGACAGACCTGCAGCCTTTTATTCCCAATGAAAACACAAACACGCTGAACGTGACGAGCCGACGCTGGGTTASAGCTCTGATTATCACAGACGATGGATCACATCTGCTGAGGAGCACATTCTGTGCTGCAGCAGGACGTAAATCAAAAAGCAAACCTGAGATGGAAACAGATTTATAACCTGCAGAATAAGAAAAATAATAAATTCTCTGAAGGAGAGAAGTCATTTTTATCATTTCGTGGCGTTTTAAGTGATGTTCATAAAAGGACAAGAGAGTAAAACTGAAAGGGGCCGAATTAATAAAACTAATAGTTACTCTGATTAATATTCATCACAGGAATTTTTCTCTGAATTGGGGAGTTTTCTGGGATTCGTGCCAAGGAAAGCAGAAAGGCAATTTAGATTTTCTGCAAGATCTGCATGAAAGGCTGACTTCAAATATCCCTCCTGAAGGAAACTCCCATCAAAATTAAACTGGATTGCCTCAAACTGAACATAAAAAAATCAATCAAGAAGGCATCAGCATTTAATTCCTAAATTTGATCACTCATTTTGTTTAACTACCAAATAAAAGAGGGGAAATTAAAATATATTTATATTTAGTAGTAGTGTAACATTTGATCATGTATATGTTACAAGATTTAATTGAGCAAATTAAGTAAAATTTACCTGATTTATTCACAAATCTTTAACTATATTCTTAATAACTTTTACTAGATAACGATGAGAGTAAATATTACATGAATTTTTAGCATTTAAATTTACTTACCAAACATCAGTGCAAATTTTACAGGATTTTCTCAGTAAATCTTACAAGTTATTTTATACAGTGTAGAGTCGTCCTCAAAACACATTTGGAGCYTTACCAAAGTTGTAAAGTAACTAAGTACAAATACTTTATTACTGTACTTAAGTGGAAATTTTGGTTATCAGTCCTTTACTTGAGTAATTATTTTTCAGTCAACTTTTTACTTCTACTTCTTACATTTTCACACAATTATCTACTTTTTACTTGATACGTTTTTTAAAAAGGGAAGAAGTAGGAAGTCGTTACTCCTGTTTCATTCCAGCTGGTTGTTGTTGTTGTTGTTGTTGTTGTTGTTGTTGTTGTTGTTGTTGTTGTTGAATTTTGCCTCCTGGATAGAGTGAATTAATTGTAGTAAAGGCTCTGTCACACTTTAAGGTTTTAGACATCTTATRCCAACTRATGAAACTTATAAAAACATCAACGTTGAAGATGAAATTTAAAAAAAAAAAGGGCCAGAAGCCTTGTTTAGGTGTGTATATTGTAATTCTGACAAACTGATCAAATAATTAACAGTATTAGTTTGTACAATCCATTACAGCTGCACGTCTTTAGAAAAGCATTTTTTTGGGGGGGGGGGAGGTCACCTCCCAATAACAGCCGGTTCGGATGTTATCAGTCCATTAAATGGACGTTATTAGCGGTTATCAGTCCCATAGAATGGCTTCAGACTGTCCCGAAAGTGCCCCCTAGTGGGTTACCAGTGCCATATACGTTGGAATGCAATAATCTGCTACCGCCGGAGTCTGGTCACTTTATCGTAGCCCATGTCATTTTCTCTAAAATTAACCTTAGTGGTTTTATGCCTCATATTAACCAGCTGACAGTCTGAAGCCATCCTATGGGACTGATAACTGCTAATAATGTCCATTTAATGGATGATAACATCTGAAGTGGGTGCCCAATAAATGTCATTTTGGAAAATCTAACTGCTCATTTTCATTAAATAGCCTACTTTTACTTTTAACACTTTAGTATATTTTTTGTCAGAAATGTACTTTTGATACTTAATCACAAAAAAWATCTGAGTAATATACTTAGAGGAGACTTGAACTTTTACCAAAGTAATTTTATGATAAGATACTTTTACTCAAGTATCACGTTGAGATACTTTATACCACACTGAGCATTACTGCGTTTACAAGTTGATTCTCCTTTAATAATCTGGCCTTAAAGGTGACGGGTGATATGCATTTCTTTGAAGGTTAATATGTTTTCCTGCTCTCAGGAGGTTTTTTTGCTGCTTTAGTCGTTTTTAAATCAAACTCAACTCAAAGTGAAACTTCTTCCCTGAAAACGGGAGCCGGCGTCTGTTCGTCCTGCAGCTTCGGCGTCGAGCGCCATAACTCCTCTTCCTCTCCTGCAGGCCGGCCGCTCATCATCGGGGTGCAAGCCGACCCGTCGCCGAACGGCGCCAAACCTTAAATCAGGAAGTCACGGCCGCAGACGGATCAAACGCCGACAAACAAACAAACATTTCACAGCGGCGTGACGGCCGCGTGAAAAATGATCCCCGGGCACAACTCATCTTTAACGTTTCTTATTAAAACGGACTGAAAGCAGCCGGGGATGATTACGTCTAGATGTCCATCCATCCATCCATTTTCTGTACACGCTTCTTCCTTTTCAGGGTTGCGTGGGTCACTGGTGCCCATATCCAGCAGTCACGGTGCGAGGGGCGGGGTACACCCTGGACAGGTCGCAAGTCCATCACAGTACGTCTAGATGTGACTGATTAATATCAGACGAGGTGTTTGAATCAAACGGAGACAACTTGCAGCTGTTGCCATGGTCACTGCTGCCAGTTTAGCGATGGAGCGAAGGCAGTGGCGTCCCCCTGGGAAATAAAGTATTGATCAGCGGGTCATTTGTTTACTAGCAGGGCTCTGAGGCCACGTTTAGATGCCTCGAGCAGTTAGTGTCCAGAATCACTTTACACAGACTAATTATTTTTTTTATGTAAGACTCAAATATTTTCTAAACTAGTTGTTTTCTGTAAAACTGGTCTGAAATGGCAAACGTGTAATAATCTGTACAATGCGCACTTGTGTATGTGCTCCCCTGCACAACATCAGCCATGTGAGAAACACCTGCAGAACAGAAGCATTTATTGCTCAGATAAATAGTCGCGCTCTAAAGATTTGAAGCGAGGGTTGAGTCTGGACTCTGGAGGAATGCAGCGTCCGTCTAACTGTGACAGCGAGACGATGCCTGTGGCTCGAAACACGTTTCCAACCTGTCATTAAGGAGCCATTCTGAAAGTGCCGCCGTGCCAAAAGCAAAGAGAAGCAGCTGAAGCTTATTTTAGGAGGCTTGTCTTGTTCACAGAGAGCAGCAGCAGCAGTTCAAATATTTACTGTAACAGTAACTAAACATTAAAGCAGTTTTATATTCATGCATTTATCCTGCTGTCCACATAAAGACTGTAAAATTCAGCTGCAGATTTAGCTTCAATTTAAAAAAAACTATTTGCAGTAATTTAGCAAACACAGTGAGAAAAGTGTTAACTACTGTAGTAGGGGTGGGAATCTTTCATTATTGACACGATTTGATTCAATTCCGATTTTGGAGCCCGTGATTTGATTCAAAATCGATTTTCGATTCAAAGCGATTTGATTTGTAAAAATTTCTGCTTCAGTCTATAACAGAGGTGCCCAAACATTTTCCCTGAGAGGGCCAAAATGAAAATCTATCCACGGCTGCGGGCCAAATGCAGTAATATAATACATGAAATACAAATACTTTAAAAAAAAAGTCCTTTATTTTTAATGATTAAG